TTAAGAGCTGGCTTGGGACGCCAGAGGGCCCCGGTTCGGATCCCACATATGAGGGCCAGTGACACTGCCCTCCACAGCTGAGATGCTGAACAACAGCTCAACCTGGAGCTGGGCTGCCGTGAGTGGCTGAAGATGGCGTAGGCTGCAGCCCCTGCTGCAGTGGGTTGCCATGGGCTGCCGTGTGTAGCCAGCAGCCAGAGTGAGCGGCCAGCAGCCACCGTGAGCGGCCATCCAGAAGCCGGTGACTGATGTGCCTCGCCCGGGAAGAGCGCAATGATGGTGCCAACTTGGGCCAGTGAAGCAACGTCCTCCACAACTAGACTGAAGAACAAAAGGGCAGCAACTTGTCTGTTCCCATCCCCCAATTCCCCAATAAAAATCTTTAAAAAAAAATATATGTGTGTGTGTGTGTGTGTGTGTGTGTGTTGTTTCCAGTTAACCATCTGCAAAAGCTCTATCCTTATTCTAGTGATGTTTCCAGTGTCTGGAATATTTTTAAAATTCAAGAATTACGAGATCAGTTAACGAGCCAGACAACAAAACGAACCCCCTTTTACTAGACCAGTGCTGCCCTGAAGACACGTAATGCCTTGTATGCAATTTCAAATATCCTACTAGCCACATTTTTTTTTTTTTTTTGGTAGAGGGCAGTGTCACTGGCCCTCACATGTGGGATCCGAACCGGGGCCCTCCGGCATCCCAAGCCAGTTCTCAACCATCGCGCCACCTGGCCGGCCGCCACATTTTTAAGAAGTAAAAAGAAGTGAGGGAAATGACTTTTAGTTTCACTTAACCTATTTCCTCCCAAAGAGTGCCATTTCCGCATGTAATCAATATCACAAAAAACATCGCTGATGAGTGAGCTTGTTTACGTTCTTTAAGTCTCCCAAGTCTCGTGTGTATTAACATGTTGCACATAAGCACATCTCAGTTCCAGGCAGCCACGTCCCAGGTGCTCAGCGGCCTGCTGTGGACTGTGGCCTGGGGGTGGGCGGGGCTGGGCCAGGCAGTGGGGTCCCTCCCGCCCCTTTGGAGTCTCAGATGGTATTACTCAGTTTAATTGCCATCCCCGCCAGACTGGGCTGCAAACAACTCAGTTGATTCTCCAAACCAAAGCATCTTTATGTGAAGACGGATTGCCACCATTGAAGATAATCGAAAGAACGTGCCGGAAGGTTTGAAGGGGATTCCAAAATACAAGTGTTCGCAATATGGCGTTTTCCCAGGTGTCATCAGCTGGGAACCTCGCTGCAGCTCTGTAAGTTATGTCCCAGAAGCAAATGACGAAACAGGCTCACAGCACCCAGTGTTACTGAGGGAGCAGAGAGCCTGGAGCAGGAGACGTTTGTCCTCCTCACAGAGTCCCGGCCCCACCCCCACCCAGACGGTTCAGGGAGACAGAACCTTTGGGTAAGTTAGGGCACGTCTGTTAAACATTAGCCAAGTATATGCTCTCTTCAGACAATTCTCATCTATTCTCTCCATGTATTTGTTCATCTGTGGGCCTGTTTCATCCCATTTAAACCTGATTCCCAGCCTCTGGTCTCTGTAAACTAGAAGTGGACAATCCTTGACCTATTTTTTAAAGCTTTTTTTTTTTTTTAATTATGAAACATGCTCAGGGGCATAAAAAAAGACCACGTCCCTGAAATCACACAGTCTGAAAAATTCGTGCATTTTCTACTATCTTCTACGCCTTTCTTAAAAAAAAACAAGAAACCCCAGTCACTGGGATTATATCATACCTGCTTTCAGTCATCTCACAAATATGTTTTCACGTGGTATGAGTTTAAGTGTCATCCTCCCCAAATTCATATGTTGGAGTCCTAACCCCCAGGACCTCAGACGGTGACCTTATTCGGAGATATGTCTTTACAGAGATCGTCAAGTTAGAGTTAGGTCACTGGGGTAGACCCTTATCCAATGCGACTGGCTGGTGTCCTTTAAAAGGAGGAAATTTGGACACAGACGCCTATCCACAAAGATAGGAAGATGGCCATCAATAAACCAAGGAGAGGGGCCTGAACAGACTCTCCCTCACAGCCTCAGAAAGAACCACCTGCTGCCACCTTCATCTCGGACTTGCAGCCTCCAGAACTTGGAGACAGTAATGCCTGTTGTTTAAGCTGCCCAGTCTGCGGAACTTTGTAATGGCAGCCACAGAAAACTAATACCCCATGGTATACACAAATTAAAAAATCCAAAACATCAACCCTCTCTCTTCATACACAAAGCTGTGTGTATGTATTCCGTGGATGCATCGTTCTTCAACCAGCCACCGTGGCCTGACATTTGATTTCCATAGCGTGGCTATTTAACTAATAAACTACACTTTTATACAAAAACCTCCATCCCTAGCCCCACTATTTCCATAGGATAATTTCTGGAATTCCTGACTATTTCCTTAGGAGGAGAAACTGGACCCGACACACAGCACCCAGTGGGTTTCCCAAAGGTACCAGCTTTATCAGAGGTTTGCAACCTTGCCAACTTGGCAACTGACAAATGGTTTCCTGATGATCAGTTCACTTGAACAGGTTGTCAGGTGTTTATTGGACATTTGTGTTCACCCTGTGAGTTGTCTGTTGGTGTGTGTTGTCAGTGTTTCTATTGGAGTACTTACTGGTGTTCTTATTGATATGTAAATACTCTTTATATAGAAAAGACCTTCATTCTTTGCTGTAGTTGCTGTATGTGCTTTTCCTAATTTGTTGTTTGCCTTCTAACTGTATTATCTATGTGAAGTAAGGAAGTCTTAAACGTCTATACCATCAAATTGATGGTAACTTTTCCGTAGTAATTTTTTTAAATTACTTTTATACTTTATATCATCCTTCCCAACCCAAATTTCCAGCCATCATTAGCTTATATTTTCTTCCACTTACAATTTCAATTTTCAATGAATTACTTTTGATATTTCAAACACCCTAATTCTAAGCATACATTTACCTGAAAAGGCCATCCATGTGAACTAAAGTATCAGCCAGCTCACTGAATGCCTGTTCTGTGTTTTTATGGTGTACCCCGTTCTTTGTCTGGTAGAAATGGGGACATCGATTATAGCTTAATAAAGCCAGAGGCTTGTTATAGAAAGTTTTAGGGGAGTTTAAAAAGAGGGGGGCCCTTAGTTGTGACCCAGAGGCCTGTATGGCCTGGACCAAACTCTGGGCTTCACCCTCTCAGCTTCTCCCATGCTGCACATGTGATGAACACGCGTGTTGACCTGCAGTCTCACACTATTGACATGCTCTGATGAGAACAGCTCTTGTTACAGGCGTGCGTCAGTGAGGAGGAGGAGCTGAGGTCATTTTAACTTCCTCCCCAGGCGCGCCCCCCACCCCTCGTCAGAAGAGAGGGAAGGAATAGAGTTTTAAAGGGCACAGCTGAGGCCAGGTCACCTCCTGGTGGGTAAGGAGCCCTCACTCACACAGCTCAGGGCGGTGCCCCAGGGAGCGGGGTGCAGGGTGTGGGGCGGCTCTGGCAGCTGGTCAGAGGCCCTGGATATCCCACAGCCCACATTCGTTAGCCAGAAGCAGTGCTTCTCCAAAATGGGAGGAGCGTAAAATCCTGGACTTCTGACCAGCAGGCCTGAGAGGAGGCTGCCCAGGTGACTCTACCCCCAGTGAGATTAGGAACCATTCACCCACTGCTGCCCCACCCCCACCCTGGGGGAAGCAGACTGGAGTAGGGGGCTCTGACCAGAGGCAGACTGCCCCCTCCGCCTGTCAGGCTGGACTGATATCAGCGCAAATTGATACACCAGTGGCTGCCCAGGTGCGCCCACATTCCCCCCGCTTTGTCACCAGCCGGATGTTAAACAGGATTGAAGGGCAGCTGTTGGGTGATGCAGTACAACGGAAGGCCCCGGCAGCCAGGGGCTCGCCTGTCACCGGGTGAATAGACGCAGCTCGGGCCCACCTGTCACCCAGAGCAGTGGCAAGCGTGTGGTCCTGCGTGTCCTGGGATATAGACTTGAAGGAATGGCCTGGAAACGCCCTGCAGAGATGCCTGGGGACACCCCGGCCTCTGGTTCGGCTTCAGTGCCGAACCAAGTGTCATCACGGGCTGGTGCACAGCTCTCTGTGTCCCCTCCCGTCCCTTGGATGTCCTTATGAACTAGGGACCAGCAGAAGGTAAACTCACTGTCACATGGGTCCTTCCTCACAATGTGCAGCTCTCCTTAAGGTCCCAAATCCATCCAGCCAGAACCCTGTCTTAGGCAGTGGCGGTCCCGTCTGTGCCACTGTCTCAGTCACCCGCCTTGATTTCTAAGGTCTGGGCCTCACTGGCCCCTGACCACCAGCTTCCGGAATCGGCCGCTGCGTGCTGGCCGCTGCCTGCTAGAGGGGAAGCTGTGGCCGGAGCAGAGCACAGGCCTGGGGCTCTGACTGGCAGCAGCTTTGGGAGGAGAGGAAGCGGGCCCAGCGGCTGGGGGAGGGGAGTGGGGGACAGGGGATGAGGAAATGAGGAGGCCTGCTCCTGGCACCCGCACCACCCTTTCCGACGCCCTCACTTCCCCAGTTGGGTGCCTACAATGCAGGGCAGCACACCTTTCCCAACCCCTCCCCTGGCATGTCTGTTTCAACAGTTTGCCTGAGAGGAGACAGGTCCTGGCCTCCCTCATCTGACCTGCCATCCAGCTGGCCTGCAGGCTCCCTGGACACCGTCTGCACACAGGCCCCCTTTCCTGGACCCTGAGGCGGAGAATGCACACCGACAGCTAAGTCACACCTGGGAACCTCTGTGGGATCACCAGACTGTTGGCGGGGAGGGACAGGCAGACACGGGGTGTCCTGGGACCAGGGGGCGTTTCATAGCCTTCAGTACAGCCAGGAGTCCACGCGGGACACTTGAGTCCCCCACCGGCAGGTCTGCACCTCCACACGCAGGAGGGGGAGTGGGCAGGTTCCAGGGAGCCCTGCGTACAGGACCAGAGCTCTGCAGGGAGCGTGCAGGTCACTTTCAAAGGTGGGTGTCAAGATGGGGTGCATGCAGGTCCAGGAGAAGGAAAACGTCATGACATGGTGCTGGTGTCTCTGGGGGCACGGAACACGGAGGGGTGCCTGTGGGGGGGAAGCAGCGCTGATGATCGAGGGCCTGACACCTGCCCCGTGGCTCGGGCTGACAGGCGCTGTGTGGGAGGGGCTGTGCACAGGGAATCAGAGCTCGAGTAAAGAGCAGGCCCAGGTGACAAGGACGAAAGGCTTTCGGGGGTGGACAGGGGGAGGCGGCACAAGGACAGGGACGCACTTCATGGTCCGAGTGGCTAACATGTCGGCATACTCACCGGGAGCATCAGTAACAATGACAGTGGAACCTGGAGGGGTGAGTGGACACTGTACTTTCTGCTTGTTTTTTTGGCAAACCTAAAACTGCTCTAAAAAATTAAAGTCTATTAGTTAAAGAAAAAAGAGTGTTGAGACCAGGAAGCTTGCAACCAAAGAAGCCAGGCCAAGGTTGAATTGTGAGGCCGGATGCGAGGTACGGGGCTGGAGGCTGGGCAAGGGAGATAGGGCCACCAGAGAGCTTGGGTTCCCCCAGGGGGCAGGCTGCCAGGGGCTACGCTGGGACCCAGCAAAGACTGCAACCCGATTTGAGCTCTTCCTAGCGTCCTTGAATCCACATGACGCATGACCTTGAGTGGTTTTTGCTCACCACGTGCGGAGCCTGGGGTTGCCGAGAGCAAAGATAACCACCCTTTGGGTTAGACCAGAAAGCTGTCCTCCCAGGTACAGAACCTGGGGCTCTCCAGCCTCCTCTCATGGGTCTGGGGTCTTTCTCTGTGGGCAAAGCGACTCATTCTCTTTCTAACACAAACAGAGTTGGGGGTGGGGCACATCTTGCACAATCTTTAAATGCTACCAACAGAGACCCTAAGATACACAAGATCTACTAATGCTCGCTCGAAAGGGAGCTGAGAGAAGCCTGCAGCCAGGAAGAGCTATCTGACTTTTCCCATCTCCAGTCAGGACTTAAAGTTAATTGAAATCAAAACAGCAGCCCGAGATGCTCAGAGCGCTTTGTACCAATATAAAAAATCCTTTCCCCAAAGCCTGAGAGATGAAGGTGGAGAGAGACACAGCTCGCAGTAGATCCCTGGAAACGATAAAGAAGCTCATTCTCCTCAAATGCGTTCACTTAATATTTTTATTTTAAAACAGTTATGTCCATGTTGACTTTAGGTAAGTTCCAGAATCCAAGACATCTCTGTAAGTTTCTTGTACGATGTGCCTACCAGAGGGCCATCTTCAATCAATTCCAAACGCCTTGTTTTTGTTGGTGTGAAGGAAAACAGCACCACCCTGGCAGCTGGCATGAGGCATTCAGAGATGGAACAAGGCCAGGATCTAAAATGTGCACCAGCGTGTGTGTACAAAAACAAACGAACAAACAAAAACACAGGTAATGGTTGAAAAAGGTGTAAAGTAAAGGTGCCAGCGCTGGTGTGTAACCGTCTGATTGCAGTAGGATGGCAAGTTGAACTTTGTGCTGCTCTGAGCCGACCGTGACCACTCGGTAGGGCCAGGTTTTTGCAAAATAGGCTACTGTGTAATTTGAAAGGAAGGAACGACTTGGCCTCCCCTCAGAGAAAAAACACACACGCTCATAAAACAAAAAACTGCAGAAACTCCCCAACTAGGGAGTCCTTCGTTCCGGTTTTTCCCATCAACTTGCCACTCTAGGAATTAAAACACCTTTGAGGAGCATGGGTTCCTGGCCTTTGCAGGTAAGTTACGCTGCTGGTGGAGGAGCTGGAGTATGGGGAACTGCCAAGAGGGGGAAAATGTCAGGCACCGCAGAAGCCCCGAGGTGCAGAGGGAGGGCTGGGGGGGGCTGGGAGGGGGCAGCGGACTGTTTGTTTCACAGCCCTGCTCAGAACAGGCTCTGCTGATGGGTTGGAGCCGGTGGACAGCGGTGAGCCTGCTGTTAGCCACACATGTCCCCTCCACCCTCCAGCCACCCCATGGCCACTGCCACTTGGCCCAGAGGCATCTTTTGTAACTCAGCATAGCAGTGGTGGGCTGGGGCTCGTCTCTAGCTAATACCTACGGGGGTGAAGTTGAGACATCTATCCCCCGAAATTTGTCCCCCACTAATATTTTGTGATTTGTACCAAAGAAAGAGAATCCTTCTAATAGATAGAGACAAAGTCCTAAAACACCAGAAATGAACAAAACATAGAGTACAGAGTATGACATCGCAGCCTATAGAAAAGACACAAGTTTCTGTCTCACTGCCTTCAGAAAGCACTTCCGTTCCATGTACCACAATGGTTACCTGCGGCCGCTGTAACCAATGGCCAAAAACCTAGTGGCTTGAAACAACACAGATGTGTCATCTCCCAGTTCTGGAGGTCAGAAGCCCGACCTGCTCTCACAGCTAAAGTTAAGGTGGCAGCAGGCCGGTTCCTTCTGGGGGCTCCGAGGGAAAAGCTGTGTTCCTGCCCTTTCTGGTTTCTAGAATAGAATTCCTCCTCCTTCAAAACTGGCGAGGACGCTTGAGTCCTTCTCTCATCGCATCACTCTGATGCCGACTCTCTGCCCCCCAACCCAGGATCCCGTGATGACACTGGGCCCACAGGAGAACCCAGGACACCCTCCATCTCTAGGCCAGCTGATCATGGGGCCGGCCGAGTGGCATGTTGGTTAAGAACTGGCTTGGGATGCCAGAGGGCCCAGGTTCAGATCCCACATATGAGGGCCAGTGACACTGCCCTCTACAGCTAAGATGTCGAACAACAGCTCAACCTGGAGCTGAGCTGCCATGAGTCGCCGGCGACAGCGTAGGCTGCAGCTCCTGCTGCAGTGGGTTGCCATGGGCTACCGTGTGTGGCCAGCAGCCAGCGTGAGCGGCCAGCAGCCAGCGTGAGCGGCTGTCCAGAAGCCGGCGACTGATCTGCCTCGCCCGGGAAGAGCGCAATGATGGTGCCAACTTGGGCCAGTGAAGCAACGTCCTCCACAACTAGACTGAAGAACAAAAAACAACAGCAACTTGTCTGTTCCCCTTCCCCCAATTCCCCAGCGCTGTTCCCATCCCCCAATTCCCCAATAAAAATCTTTAAAAAAAAATCAAAAAACAATTCCATCTGCAACTTTAATCCCCCTTTGCCATGTAACCTAACATAGTCACAGGTTCCCAGGATTAGGACGTGGACAACTTTTGGGGCCATTTTTCTACTGACTACACCTAGGACATTATAAGAAGCTGACTTCTAACTTGGGGAGGCTTTCCATCTAGCCACCCACTGACCAGCAACCCCACGCAGAGCTACTGTCCTCTCTGCAACATGATGAGGACCCAGGCCCAGAACCAGGAGAGGCGGACTGGGGCCCATGACCCGGGGAGCAGCTGGACAGGATAGAGGAAAGGTGCATGCTCACAGCCCAGCGCCTGCCCTTGGGCGGCTCCCTCGGCCCAAAGCCTTGGTTTCCTGTCCTGGAATAAAGGGATAATGAATTCCCAAACAGGAAAGCAAATAGACATGCTAATGTCTCTTCCGAGACCTTCCTAAGAAGACCAAAGAAATGGCAGCCTGGAGCCACTGGGAGAGAGGCAGCACCCCGACTTCTCCCGTTCACTGCTCTGGGCTGTTCTCCTGCCTCGGGGCCACCCTGGATCAGCTGCTGGGACACAGAGGTCAGTAAGACAGAAGTGGTCCTGTCACCCCACAGAGCCAGCAGTTCCCATACACCTGAGGGATGCAGCCCATACTGATCGTGACAGCTGCTTGCTGCAGCAGGGGTAAGCATGGAGGGAGTGAGGGGCCACTGGACACTTAGGGGGACATGACACGGGACAAAGCCCACAGGTGATTATCCCCCTGGCCTTGTCACTCTCACACTGCTCAGGAGAAAAGTGTCCTGAGTCCCAGGCATGTGGCCGGCAAAAACCGGTTCATCTTCTTTGCCCGCGAAGCCCAATCAACAAAGAGTGGGGATAAGGCGATGCCATAGCAAACATGAGCCATACAAACAGGATCTTTTTCTGCCCACAAAACACCTGCTGCAAACATACCTTGGTGAGGCCCCAGCTCCCTCTCCCTTCCCAGAACCAGGCAAACCAGGCACAGGCACCAGAGTCTTTTGGGAACTCCAAGCTTTCACAGTCACAGGGTGGTGCAAATCCAGCAGGTGGCCCAGACCAGGAACCCCGTTCCCTGGGGTGCACGGTTTGGGGATGCTGGGTCTCCTTCACTCCTGTGGGCTCCGATGACCCCTTCATTTGTATTTAACTTCAAGTTATGGGATTATTGAAGAAGACAAACATATTTGCTGTGTACATACATCACCTTCAGGGTTCCCTCCAGGGGGAAGGATAGGGCTGCTATTTGAAGGGCCTCTGTGTAGGAGTGAGGACAAGATAACTTGCATTTAAAATGAAGGAACAAGTTTAGAGTGTAAACCCTAGTGCTAGAGCCTTGGGCCAACTTCCCCAAGGAAAGGATCCTTGAGAGGCTGGAACCAGACAAGACAGTTAAAGAAACGAGGGCAAGGGCGGATTTGGTGGCCTGACTTAGCTGTCACTTTGACAAATAGTATTTCCCCCCAAAGAGCCAAGGAGGTAGAGCCTGTGAGACGAAACCAACTTTAAAGATGAGCCAGGATGGGGGACCAAAGAAGAGCTAATCTCAAAAAGCAAGGACATATGTAAATCCAACCAGGAAACCAACAACCGACCCCAAAGTGGGCTAGGTGCATCTGATGTCTATTCACACCTGTAAACCTGAATATACAGAGAAGTTTTCATTGTAGTGGCAAAGGAGCAGCCACGCCAGCAAACAAAAATCTCATGGGGGAGGGGGAATGCAGAGACAACACCCCTGAAAAGCAACACAATTGATCTTGCCTAAGGAAAGCATTTTAGTTACAGAAATGGAAAAGCCAAATGGTGTCAAATGACATCTGTTAAGTATGCCCTTTGCCCCGAGTCCAGAACACCTGAGTATAATGACCTATTTATCAGACCATTGAATTCAGGGTCACTCAGCGTGGAAAAGCAACACATACACCAAAGTGTGCAAGCTGATGTGGCCTGGGCGCACCCATGTTATTAGGGGGATGTCCCCAATGGAACAGACGTGCCACATCTCTGCGTCTGCAGTCAGGTGGGTCCGAGACGATCGCTCACGCCAACTTGAAACTCCTGGGCAGCCGTGCCACCACAGAAGGGCAGCCGCTCAAGCGGGATAACAGATTTGGGTTCTTGCTGGTCCTTTCCTTGTACTGCACATGACTGAACATCTGTGGGCAGATACAGAACTCAGTCTTCCAGAGGCCAGGCATCTCTCCTCCTTTGAAGATGGCGACAAAAGTTCAGAAGAAGACATGCTTCAGATCAGATGTCAGATATGAAACAGCTCATCAAAGTAGATTTATTAAAGATGCAAGACCAGGGGCCCAAAGGACACACCAGTGGCCAATAGCATCAAAAACATCACCACTGAAGTGAATGGGAAAAGATTTCCTACACCACTCCCCCGAAGTTTGAGGGGGTGGGGAAGAAGGCAGACTTGTGCTTTCTTTTCTGTGCCCTGGGCTCATCAGTGTTCATCAACAGAATACAAATACAGTAAGTCCTCATGAAACAGCATAGGTAGGGTTTGTGACTTCAAGCGATGATCTCTAAGAAACTCATTTCATCAAAGACTAATTGGTGTAAAGGACCATTCCCTAGGCATCTCATCAATGTTACAATGACTACTATGCTGAATGAAACAATGTTACTTGAAGGACCTGCAACTTGATGGAAGACCTGCTGTACAACAGCAGAATGTGCAAACAATGTACACCAACAAAATCACCTCTCTGTTACAATTGTTTCACCCTCCCCAGTGTATGAAACTAAGTAGCTAGTCTTACAAGAGAGGATTCAGGCCTCTGAAAACATTGAGTCCCTTCAGCTCAGTGGGAAGAGGCAAGGTAAAATCTTTACTCAAGATTTGTGTTGCCAGGCAACCTGGTTGCCCTGTCCCTGGAATAGCTGGCAGGGACCCAGCCCTCCCCTCCCCTCCTCCTAAAGTTATAAAGATAAGTGTGTAAATAGACCTAAATAGCGAATTACACTTCTGCTTGTGATCAGCTTTCGTCCTGATGGTCCGCACATACAAATAAAAAAAAAACAAAAAATGTTTTTACCCATCTAGTTACATGTGAAAAATCCAAATGATAGTCCTTAATTATATCAATAATAAATAGTAACAAGCCCTTAGCAGTGCCAGGGACTAGATCCCTTAGATCATCATTGCAATAGGCCTTTGAGGTAGGTGGTATTATCTCCATTTTACAGATGGAGAGACTAAGGTGCAGAGGAACTAAGTCACCGCTATGTACTACAAATATGGTTAGTATTTGAACCCAGCAGTCTACTTTGGAGGCCATGTTTTTAACCACTGCGCTGAGCTACCCCAAACCCAGGGCAGAGAGGCTGGGACAATTGGAGGCAGGTTCTGCAAACCCCATGGCTGTCTTCTCAAGTGCCTTTATACTGAGGCCTGGGAATGGATATTAGCCACTAGTGGTGACATGGCGTTAGTCCTCACTCCATTGCACTTTTATGAATCACTTGGCAGAGTGAACCACGTCATCTTGTCTGAACAAAGCGGGGTGGGGAGAGTGTGTGTGGGTGAGTGAGGGGGGCCATTTACAAGAGGGGAGGTAGTATGGCACAGGCTTTTTTAGACTGGAGCCTCCTGGGCCCCACCCAGGCTCCTGCTCTGTCACTCCTCGCTGCATGAACTTGGGGAAGGTACTTCTCTAAGCCTCAGTGTCCCCATCTATAAAATGGGGATAATCTCAGTCCTGATTTTATGGGTTTGTTTTCTGGGTTAAGTGAATTCATGCATGATAATCAGAAGCTATTTATACAACAACCATCGCTGCTAGAGGATTTAAAAATTCCACTGAGAACTTTTCGTGTAGCTGTATTCTGAGGCTCGGCTTACCATAAATACCCACAAGCCAATAAGTGCTGCAGAAAACACAGTAATTGTGCTCGACGTAAACAACGTGCCTGTTAATGAACTTCATAGTTACAACTAAAAGGCATTCCTCGCCTTAATAATCCCTTCTTTGCAAAAGCTTCTAAAACGGTTCTGAAAGGTGTTTACTACTCGCTAATCAATTACATGTTAATGTTGCTAAAAAGGAATTTCTAAAACGAACACACAGATTTTTGAAAGTTCTCTACTCAATTGGTGACAGACTTGGAACGGAATTCTGGAATCAGGGCCTTGGGTCTGGCCCTTCCATCCATCACATGGCCTTTTCGGAGAGCCATTCCCTTCTTGCCAAATGAAAGAAAAAAAGAAAAAAAATGGGTGCCCACCGGGGCGGAGAGAAGGCTCACCCCCAGCCTCTCCCTCTGTCACCTTGGGGAGGCCGTGACACAAACTTCTCCCCCGGAGACAGAGCGGATCCTGTCCTTTTCTATTTCTGAACGAGATTGTAGCCAACATGACACCAACTTCCCAGCGTGGGAATAACAGGATTTCAAGATTCAAGGGCTGCTGGCGGGGTTCCTCCGCGGGTTATATTTAGCCGTCTTCAATTGCCTATTCTCCTCTTTTTCTCCTATTCTTTTATTTTTCTTTCTTTCTTTTAACGTAAAGAACAAGGGGGCAGAGCCTGGGCCTAGAGGAAGTGAGTTCCCGACACGCGGCTCTTCACCCGGGGACGCTGAGCGCGCGCGCTGCGGGGCGGGCAGCACGCTTTGGGGGGCCGCGTCGGCGCACAGCAGCCCCCCACAACTTCTCACTCGCGTGTTCCGACCATCCAGCCAGACAAAGACCACAAGTGCTCCGGTCCAGGCTCCGGACAGGCGGGCACCGAGCACCCCGGGATCAGGCCCCCTCGCGGCCCGGGGCGTCCCCACTGCCTGAGAGGGGCTCCCCGGGACGCTGCACGCCGGACCCCCGGTGCTTGCGCGCCGCTCGGCCCCCGCACCTCTCCGCGCGGCGGCCAGACCCCGGCCCCCACCCCCCCCGGGCCCCGCGGCTGCGGCGGGCCCACGCGCCCGGGG